GCTCAGCCAATCAGAGCCAAGCACCGGAACTCTCCGCTTTATAAGGGAACTCGATTCGTTACTCGCGCAATGTTCAAAGCCGCGCGCCGAACTGAACCCTCTTGCTTTAAACAGATGCATATACACATAATATATAGACAAAATGCAGATCTCGTCCATCATTCTTGTAAATGCAGTCGGTTGTGTCTTACGTGAATGAGAACAGCTGGGAACGTGCATCATTATATCGGATCCGTGCATCAGCTCTTAAAGGGGCGGCAGCCTAATAATACCTGCTGCTGTCATTATGCTCATCAAGCAACAAAGCACGTTTTTGACTAAGATGAATCTGCAGTGTTAGTTTACACTAAATGATTACATTTCTGTACCTGCATACTACAGAACATCGTTCTGTTGTATTCATCTATGCTTGTAATTTGTGTATTTGTTCTTATTTTCACTGGCTGTCCTCAGGTCCAGCAGACGGTCCAGGATCTGTTCGGTCGCGCTCCCAGTAAGTCTGTGAACCCCGATGAAGCCGTGGCCATCGGAGCGGCCATCCAGGGAGGCGTTCTGGCCGGAGACGTGACCGACGTGCTGCTGCTGGACGTCACTCCTCTGTCTCTCGGCATCGAGACTCTGGGGGGAGTCTTCACCAAACTCATCAACAGGAACACGACCATCCCCACCAAGAAGAGCCAGGTCGCCCGATGCCTGCTCAAGCTCGTGTATAAATCAAATCTTCTGCAGAGACATGATCATTTTATATGATGGGCAGATTTAATATATGCTTTTATTCACACAACACACATAAATAGAGCTCGTCACACATCGTAAACAGCTTGACTGAACTTGCTTGGTACATGAGAACAAACCTTATTGATTCTTCAGCTTCTGTCACAGCCATTATTGATGTGCATTATGTACGTGCATTGATCAGTGTTTATCTGATATACACAGATTTTAATTAACAGAAAAAAGATTTAATTTAGACTTTTAAAGCGATCGTGCCTCTTCAGAAGACATGGATTAAACTGTAATTCATAGGAAACTTTTTAAAGCAGCCCTAATATTGGTACTTATATCAATGTAGCTATATAAGATAAGTTGGTAAAAGGCTGAACTGACGCATCTTTCCTGGCTGTGTTGCTCCGCTCTAGCGTGTCCGTATGGTGTGATATGAACTCTGGATGTTGATGTGCTCCTCAGGTGTTCTCCACCGCTGCTGATGGACAGACTCAGGTGGAGATCAAGGTTTGTCAGGGAGAGCGAGAGATGGCCACAGACAACAAGCTTCTGGGACAGTTCACGCTGGTGTGTGCACAGAACAGATTTGCACGCACTGTGCAGTACTTCAGTAGACCTCTGAAGCAGCTAGAGAATAAGCCTGTTTCTCACATCGACTCTGAGATTGGTGTTTGTGTGCTGAACAGGTCGGCATCCCTCCGGCTCCTCGTGGAGTCCCGCAGATTGAAGTCAGCTTTGATATCGACGCTAACGGGATCGTGCACGTCTCCGCTAAAGACAAGGGCACCAGCCGAGAACAGCAGAGTGAGTCCATACAAACATCAATGATATATGCTATTCCCAAAGGAAATCCAGACTTTTTCTTTAATCTTTCACTAAAATATGTGACCCTGGAGCACAAAACCAGTCTTAAGTGTCAAT